GAAAACTTAGAAGATGTTGTCATTACTTGATTTATTCTTTTCTAATCAAGTCTTTGTTCTTGATGCCTTTCAAATAATCAATTGTCGCATGTAATGGTTGAAGCAATAAATTATTTTAATGATTTTACTTTTGGCATTATCAATAATAAATCTTTGACATTAACTTTCAACCCATATCAAAATTGATTGATAAGGGCTTTGTCATTCTAGTCTATGTTATAAGCAAGGTTTTGGAATTTAGTAACATATATAGCAACTGATCATGATCTTTGTTGTAAAGATAAGAGTTTGGTCTCTACTACTCTTTCTCAATCACTCTCTCTAAATATAGTCATAAATAATTCTATGAATGAATTCAAATCATAAAAGAATTATGAATCTTTTTCAATGAATGGTACAAATTAAAAAAAAACACTTCTACATAGAAGTACTCCTATGAACCCAACTTCAGTAAATCCATCAAAGTATTGGAAGGAATGAAATCTTAAATAAAGCTTGATTTGTTGCAAAAATCTTCAAAATTTTGATCTTGTTCCATCAAACTTCTTGGGCATATTAATTCTTGTCCTTATTGTACTTGTAGAAGCAAAACTTCCTTGATTTAGTTGTGATGTTGATTTATTTTCTTCCTTCAATTGTACAACTTCTTCACGTAGACTTTGGACTTCTTCCATAGGAATAGGATTAATATTTCCTTAGTTGGAGCTCTAAATACATGAAATTTCTACCTTATGAGTATTGACAAGTTCTTGAAGATTAGCAAGAGTTGCAAATCTTTTTTCACTTCCACCAAGTATAGCATCTATGATATTTTCTTCTCTTTTAAATAACTTAAAAAATCCACAAGTTAAATTAGAAGAGGATAATTTCAACTTTTAATATTAAATAAAAATTTCTAAAAAAAATGATAATCTACTCTCTTTAAGGAAGATATTAGTGTTAGAAAATTAAACAATTTGTTTAAAGATTGATAATTTTTAACTTTCAAATCATAATGATAGAAGTGGAGCAATCTATTCACTTCCAAAAGAAGACAAGAACAATAAGTTAGTACTCTTGTCAAACTATCAAGGACATGAAGCTCAAAGAAAGAAATCTTCAACACACTATTGTATCACTCAAAAGAATGAGAAATTCACTCAAAGATGATATAATATTAAACTAGAATAGATATTACCAAAGACAAGAAGATTAGAAAGTCTTGAAATAAGACTAAGAACTAGAAAGGCATTGACAAGAGTAAAATAGGCTTTATTCTTGCCTCTATATATACTCTCAATTATGACCTACATGGTGGTATCCTATAAGACCTCCAAAACGTGTTGACTTTGTAAGATACATATTTTAACTTTTAAGACTAGTTTTCTATATGTGTATCACATAGTTAGTTTTTTTCACAAGCTACTAACATGTGGTTAACTTATTGATTAAGTTTCTAACCTACCAATCAATTACAAACATATATAAAGCCAAAATAATATCTATGAAGCTTTTAAAAAGAATTTTTAGAAAATATTATGAAAGAAATCTAATTTTACATAATTCTATTTAATCATATAGATAAATATTAGAATAAATATATATGTCTTTGATACAAGTTTATCAACAAGGTGAATCTTTATTTTTAAGAAGATTAATTCAATTCTAGAGTAAGAAGACTTTGCAAGCAAAGCAATTGGCATATAATGTGAAGATCAAGCTATTTTTTCTTTTTTTACAAGAATCTTGGTCTCTCTCTTTGATAAAAAAGAAAAAGAAGAGAGAACCAAAATCTACATAGGAATAAAAAAGAAAGATAGTGAGACTCTTATTGGAGCATAAAATATATATATATATATATATATATATATATATATATATATATATATATATATATTATTTTTAATTTAATATAAATATATTTTGTTTAATAATTATGTCTAGATTTATATACCAAATAAAAAAAATTAAAAGCACTCATAAGAAATAAATATGGATTTAAAATACTTGCTTATATATATATATATACATATATATATATATATATATATATATAAAGTTGATAAAGTTACACCTCAATGTTGTTAAAGCTACACTCCTTATTTGTCATCTTCTAATTACTTTCATCTATCCTTAATATCTATTCTCTGTTTCAAATGCCATGTTTCCCATTTCTATTACCATTCCTTGTCTCTAATTCTTTGTCCCTTGTTCTTAGCTCCACATCTCCCTTCTTTGTATCTCATTTCAAAATTATATATGTTATTATTGTGTGTTTTTTGAATTTAATGGATCATCTTTTTTTTATTTGAATATTTCAAATTATGTATTAAAAATTATTTTTAAAAAGTAAAAAAATTAAAAATTATTTTTTAATTTTGTTTTTAATTTTGTTTTTAATTTTATAAAAGAATATTTATCCTATCTAACACCATTTTGTATGCAATATTCCTATTGATGTTTCAATTTTTTATATGATTTATTTCTATTTGATCCTTCCTCATCTTCTAAAATCACATTTCTTTTTTTAAAAAAATTAGCATTAAAATATCAAAATAATTATACATAAAAATAATATAATTTATAATATATTAAATAAATGGAAAAATACTACTTCTAGACATAGGGATTCTTGCACCATCTTGTTGAATTCAACTTTTGAAATCATTAAAAAAATTTCTTACACATTTTACTTGCTCCATTAGTATCTTTTTAGTATTGGACCTCAAAAGTTCACATGCCTCACCATAGAAAATCTCTTCAATCTTTCAAAGAAGATCCTCCAAAGTTTCATATTTGTTGAGTATCTTGAATAATTTTTTTGGAAATTAATAACTAATAGTCACAATTTTACTAAAACTAAGTAGTTAAGTCATCAATCCTTTGCCTAATTCATTATAGCAAGAATCTTCAAAATTGATTGGTGCATCGATAAATACATTGTCTCAAATATGCTTTTCAAAACATACAATTACAAAACAAGGGATAGGAGGGAAGGATAAGAATGCTAGGGACAAGGAATAAGGTTGAAAGCAAGGGATGGAAATAAGGATTAAACATAAGTAATCATGAGATGGCAAAGAAGGATATGACTTTAATAATAATGGAGTGTGGCTTTAATAATAATAAATTATGGCTTTAAGAACAATCGAATATGGCTTTATCAACTCCATATATATATATATATATATATACATACATACATACATAAAAAGATTAACAATAATTAAATAAATTAATCAAATTCTTTATATTAAAGCATATGTTTAAAACTATTAAATTGCATTAGAATTTTATTAGAAGCTTTAGTTGAATTAGTTTTAGATTTTATGTGTGTCATAAATTGATATTTTTTTATTTTGCAACTTACTTAAATATACATGTTTTAGTAAATATATTTTATTTTTTTAGATATAACATATATATATATATATATATATATATATATGATTTTATTTTAGATACCTAAAAACATCAAGACTACAAGACTTCTAAATTGTTTAAAAATTATGCCTTTTAAACCATAATAAGCCAAAATTAACAAAATTATATAAAATTTTAATATTTTTAAATATTATAATGTTATAATTAATTTTTTAACTATTTTTTTTAAAGAATTCAATAAATAATTTTTCTATAAGATATAAATTTATTATCTATACTTTTAAGATCTGTAAATTTTAACATCTTGTTCTAAATGTGCTCCATATTATTTATTAAATCTATTAATAAATAAAATTTAAAATATCTTTTTTATTTTATTTATCAAAAAATCTTGTAAATTAGTTTATAGTTGTATGCTCAAAAGATTCATAAAAAACTCTTTGTTTTAAAAATAATATATTATAACAATATATTTTCATTGAAATCAATTAAAATTTTTAAAAACAAAAAATACTTGTATTAGCATACAATAGTTAGGACCTCAAAATAGCTACAACATGATATTAAAAATTATAGTATTATTTTTATCTTTAAAAACTTAAAAATTGATATAAATATAAATATATACATAACTTTTAAACATGGATGTTAAGAAAGTCATATTATCCATATCATACAACCACAAAGACTTTAAAGTATAAATTTAAACAAAGCTAGTTATACATATATTGTTGATTATAATGATTCTTAGAATAATCTTTTCTAGACATAACATGATGTTGGTATAAACATTTTACATGTCATATCAAACAAATAACTTCTTGCCTCTATATCACTTAATTTCTTGCATCCTCCTTCCTTCTCTCTTTCAAAACCCAGTTTAAGTTAAATCCTTGTTGATTCTTAACAAAACAAGCAGGCTTGGCTATATCACAAGATGTACAAGGATAGTGCAAGCCTGAACTAAATCACAAGTATCCCCTCAAATATTTCACCAAAAGGTGACCTGATGCTACACACCGATTCTAGTCAATACTTCAAATTGCACCTCTACTGAATAAAGATTACAAACCACTACAAGAGCACACGGTTCTCAATTTTTGTCTGCATGCTCAATCATGGTTTTCTCCTCAAACTATTACATGAACTATAAACTTGATTGCTCAATATCTCTTCTCACTATGCACAAGTTTCCAAATCCATAACAATTTAGTGTCGCTGTAACAGCCCCAGTCATGAACCTCGCCAAAAGTTGCACATTTGCATGCAATTTCAAGAGCTTGTGGTAACCATATCTTGGTACGGTAAGTTAACATTCTACTGTTTATCAAAGCAACCATCCATCGGCTCTTGATAACATTCACAGGCTGCTTCCAGATTTGTAAAAGTTTTAGGCTCGGTTACAGCAACAAATGGTTCAATCGTCAGTGAGAGCAACTAGACAAATCGATGGTGATACTTCAGAAGATTCTTTCAAAACATGCACCAAGAATCATACATAACCAAGGAGAATAGAATCACAATCGTTGACATGAACTTGTAAACACGCAACTAATTACGCCGCATGGCAAAACACTCACAGAATCAAATCTGAAGTATGCAGGATGATTACGAAGAACAAGCTTGTAGGAACAACATTGAAGCATAAACACATTTGTCTCCACTGCTTTATTGGAAGTTGAAGCCCATCAAAAAAATCATACGGGATTTGTAGCAAAAAGTGTAGTGGGCAGAACGATAAAGGTTATTCCACGCAAAAAAAATACCTACTCTACCTATAGTTGGTTGCAGCTGAAGGTGGGGAATCATCCATCATATTCGACCCGGGAGACTCTTCTGGAACTACTAAAGAAACTAAGTATCGTATAGTAATGATATGCCCCAAGTCTGAGTGAAACAAAAAAAAAAAAAAAAAAAAAAAAAAAACAGAATGGTGCTCGCGGCGGAAGGGTTGTTAACCAGCTTCAACTTGCTGTTGCTAACGGCGAAATAATTGTCCTCATAGGACTTGACCACACATGATGGGTGGAATGGTCAAAGACTATGAAGACTCCTCGACGGAGAATGGTCCGTGGGAAAATTGTAGAAAAATCATATACTGTGTTGAATTCTGTTGCCGATGGCAACAATCTTAACTCAGCCGGACCATGCCTTGAAGGGGAGCTGATTATGAGCAATCCCCATCTCACAGTTCACAGCTTCCGCATACGTCGACGGAATCGGGAGCGACTTCGTGGAGAAATGTTGCGGATTAAATCGGAGACGGTCTTGTAAGCAGTCGAGATTGGTATACGCACTCGGCAGTGGCAAATTCGAGAAAGAAATTGGTGGGTATAGCATGTTGGACGTCCATAAAGGGCTCGTTTCCGAGTGGAAAGAGGATCCTGGGAAGGCATGGCGTGCCGTCTTGAAAAGAGGTGCATCTGGAATTCCGGTGAAATCCGGCACTGGAACATGCAGACTTGATTGAATAGGACTCGTAGACTCCTCTCTTGCCCTCTTGATTCCAGATGTTTGAGAGTATCGCGAAATGCCAGGACTATGATCTGAATCGTCGGAAGAAGACTGGTTGTTGGACGTTGTTGAACTAGAGCAATTTGGTTGCTGATCTTGGCAGGCAGGATGTGCCTTCTTGTGAGCCACCAAGTTGCACTTGAAGGCGAACTTCAGGCCACATTTGCACTCGATCGGCTCACCACACAGCTTCTCGTGGTCTCGCACGTCAACCTGCATAACACCTCCATTGTTAGTACTGTGATCTGAAAGTGATTATCTGATCAGAGCATGAATTACAAGATGACTCGGGAAAGACACTTCGAAGAAAGTTAAAGCAGTGAAAGTTCCACACCTCAATGTAGAACTTCTTCCCGCACTTGCGACATCCGAAGGGCTTCTCCCCTTCAGAGTGCTTTCGGCCAAAGTGGCGCCGGAGTTCATAGAGTCCCACGAATGTCTTCTTGCATTTGGGGCACCTGGAGGGGATTTTCTTGTTATGGCCAGCTTTCAAAGAGCTAGTCAGCGTCGGCAACGTGCAAGTCTTGCTTGCGGCGCTTCCATCACTGTAATGGGTCTTGTGGTGCATCTTCATGGTCTGCGGGTTCTTGAAGGTTTTGTTGCACCCTTCGTGCTGGCATTTGAAAGGGCGCCTGTTCTGAATCAAGTCCACGGAGACCACCGCTGCTTCGATGTCCTCGGACTCTGACTTCTCCACTGCCTGTACAGTAAACGAATCAAAGTTGTAAGGATGGAATCCCACCTTCAACGAATTTGATGAACCAAGAAATCGTTGAAACTACCAGAAAGCAATGGAAAGGAAAGGTTCCAATACCTTGACAGAGTCGAGGTTAGAGTCCGCAGGGGTAGAAACCACGACCCCGACAGACGATGGCAAATCCTGAAGCTCCACTTTGGGAACGACAACCGATTGCTGACTTTGCCTCGGTAGCGCATTGCGAAAGCCGTAAATACTATCTAGTTGCGATCGATCCTGCAGATGGTTCTCAACTTGCACCTGAGGCAATAGTTGACGATCAAGCAGAGGTGCCTGGGCATCGCCAAAAATCGAAACACCTTGAGCTACTGAGGACCCCGCCGATCCTGGCGCCACCATATTCTTCAGAGTGTTCACCAAATTAGGATGCATTGTGCTGATAGAGCTTGATGCACTGATAGAACTGGTTGCGCTGATGGGACTGCATCCATGGATCTGCTGGAAGAAATCGTCGGAATCGCTGTTCAGCAGAAGCAGATCCGACTCCTCCGTCGAGTACACAGATGAGTCACTGAAGGAGAGTGATGGAGACAAAGTATTCGGTAGGTTGAAGATACTAGAATCCCTTGTGAAATATGAGTCCCAAGGTGAGGCGAATGCTGCATTGTCACCGTAATTGTACAGTGACGTCCCACCCATTGTCAACATAGATCCAAGAGACAACGGTACGACATCGTTTGCCATCAGACCGTGGTTTCCGGAGAAAGTTAGCGGTTGAAGAATGTTGGCAGCCTCGGTGCCGTAGAATGTTGAAAGAGCTGGAGTAGCTGTGACTGCCATCTTGACGAATCCTTTTCAACAAACCTGAGATTAAATGATATGCTAATTAAAGAGAGACCTTCACACAGGCATGGAAGCTTGCTTCCTCCACGCCCGGGGGATCTACAAAAGAATGTGCGAAGTAAGAAAAGCTAGTCTGCAAAAGAAGCAGTGTAATCAACAATGCCTTGCGTGGCTGCTTGTCTGGCAAAGGCGGCTATAATAGTTGTTACCACCTTTCTTTCTGGGCCATTAGAGGTCGAAGTATGATAGAATAGAAGGAAGCGACACTATATCTGAGAGCCTTGCAATCACGGAGAGCGGCACAAGGCCATGTGAACTACGTCCATGCAGAGAGAAGCTAACTACATACCACTCGGAAAAAATATACCTTACATGTACTGCTACCCTCAAATGCTAGTATTGGATCTTAGTGGTAAATGAAGTACGGAAATGTAATAAGAATCACATTCAAACAACTCGTACTGAACACCTCTTTAAAGGGAACCCAAATGTTGAGGATTCCTTTCACGGGTGCTAACTATAGCAGGATTGGTAGCTGCAAGCAGATTGCAATTGTAAGACAAAAAATCACTCGGTCTTTGATAATTGATGTTCATGAACTCCTAGAACATACTCAGGCAGGAGGAAGAAGTTGACCACCGAATTCGATTCCCTCACACGCTAACTGCGCCTCGGCATCCGAACCTTGGGATTCTCGCGATGTGTGTACAGAATTCTGGGATGCCGTGAGGAGAATGTAGTCGGGGTATCTTGTCGGTTACCGTCAGATTCGCTCAAATGACCCTTGAAAACGCCGTTCCAGACAACAAACGACCCGAGAACAACGAGACCTATCAACTTCTTGGCTTGGACACTGTTCGTTGATGCAGTGCATTGTCCTGAGTGTTACAAACTGGAGAATTGTGTGCGTTGGCAACGACCACAGGCCGCTCACCTTGCTTCAAACACTGTGAGACCACCTGCAATCCTCGAATCACGGAAGCCGGAACTCTACCTTGCTTCTTGCAGGATGTCACAATGAGCAAGGTGGATCAGATCTAAGACGATTTCCAACTTCTGAACCCAGACACCTCAAGCTTCACTAACGAACCAAAGCCCAGAAACTGACTTTAGTTCCGATCTCCAAAGCATCGAATGCAATGATATTCCTTTCAAAACATGTCAAGGCTTTGCGATCTCCAGTAACAATGCACCAGACTTTTACTATGAGACAGGTCTGAGATCAATGCCGATACAAGCTCTCTCGAGCTCGTGGATTTCAACTCTACGACAACATATCTCTCTCTCTTCTCTCAGTCGAATTCACAGTCCTGCATGCGTAGAAACAATGCACGCTGAATAAACACCCATCAGATGCATACATCTTTTTATGTGCGTCATTCAGGACTGTGAATCTTTCGTTATCGCGATTCAAGGGAATTGTGCAATTTCCTCATCTCCCACGAACTGCGAGCATGACGTAGGAGGCAACGGACGAAACGGAAGAACGTTGTCTGAACGTTAAGTTTGATCGACGAGCGACGTGTTCCGTGAAAGCTCAGTTCTATTTTCGGATCTTTTCGGTCGCGTTTCCATTATACGTAGAAACTACTTTTTGCCTCGAACTCGAAAACAAATCATCATAATTTTCGTGTGCGTACGTTCTTTAATCAATTCCCCATACCGAAATATTCTATTAATTGAGACGGGTTGCCGATCAATGCCTCCCATGTGGGTTTGGATGGCCTGCGCAGGAACTAACATTAGCGCACATTATCATCGACCGAAGGACTTATTTCGATGATGTCAGCCTTTCAAGTTAGTTGATTTCATCTGCACTCTGCACTGAAGAGGCAGAAATTATTTTTGATCATGTGCAATGCCAAGGAACATATCATGCATATATATACGTAGAAACTTGCGATGTTCCCTGTCTCCATTTGCCTCGCAGCATGGGGATAGTACAATTCACGGACAATATGTTTCTGGTATACTTTTAACTAACCACAACAATTAAGTTACCTTGGACTTCCGCTGAAATGTAGGGAACCATGTCAACAACCTTGTAGTTACAAACATGCAGGGAGCCGGATTTGCAGCACACACTACAGTGTTCTCCGAAGAGTTCGATTCCCGTGTAACTTGTGGGACGGTATCAAGCGCTGTCTTTTGATTTGAATCCTCTGGTGAGAAAAAAATCTCTCGTCACAAGTTATATTTTTTTCACATATTTTTCTGTTGGGTAACTAGAGCCTGCAAAAACAAGTAACAATCACATATGAAAAGTTGGGCATAATGCTTATCATTCATTAGCAACCTTGCATGCAAACCCCCTTTCGGAGCAGTTCGGTTTCGAGCGTTGGAGCACACTGTGACCGATCGTACGGATAAGGGGCAAGCACAGTAAAAAGGATGTCAGATGGAGGGAACTGCAGAAAGAACCGTGTGGAATGAAAGTTCTCCTCCGAGCTCCTCAGGAAGGAGTGGTGCTAAAAAATGTGGAGGGAATCAAAGAACAACCCGCTCTTCTTTTCTAAATAAGCGCAGCACTGTTTTCTTCCACATGCTTCTATTCCAATAAAAGACCCGTCTAAATTTGATGGTAAGGTCTATTTACTGTCGACAAAAAATCATGCTGGGGTGCTGGGATCGCTTAACATCCTAGGATGCTGAATTAAGCAAGAGCACAATTTCTAAGTAGAGGCTTCGAGGCGGAAGAGTTGCAACCTGCTGATTACGTCGGAATCCCAATTTAGAACGCTTGCGTAACCTTGCATCCCTGTGCTTGGGTGACCTGGGGCCTTCCTCCCTCATATCTCTGCAGAGTTGATCATGGCATGTCTGATCAACACAGTGGCAATATTAATCCATTGCTTTGTCCATACCGGCTCCAATCGTTGGTGTTCACATGGGTAGCATTCATGAAATCCTAAACGGGCCATTGAAGAACCCGAGGTCAGTACACAAAGATCGGCCACTGCGTTGAGAGGTTGGATCATTCTCACATCACACGGTCCAGGAATGCACTGAGGCACAACTTTTTTCGCGAGCTGGAAGAGATTTCCAGCCAAACTGTGCGTTGGAATGGTTTTTTATCCACTACATGCAGTTTTCTCACCCCTTCCCACTATTCGATATCGAATGCCTGGCCAGTTGCCAATCGCAAACCTGGTAGGTTAAACCCTTCGACAGCGTCCAAATTTTGCGCACCAGCATCAATGCAGTGTCAACAGATCTGTTGGTATGGATCATTCCGAACTAGTCTGCAATGTGCAGCATTCATGATCCCGAACATGAGAGACACTGTTATGAAACGTGGGGTGTTGGACCTGCAACACAAGAAGGTATTTCTTTTTTAGTTAATATCGGCAGTTTTTGAGGTGACAAGGAGGTCCAAATTGAAGAGCTAGTAAAGTGGGGATTTGGAAGGGTCACCTGTGGTGGGTGAGCCATGATCAATTCCAGAGGCGGCTACCCAATTGCCACACTTTAGTCCGCTTCGCAGAGTAGGAAAAAGGCAGCCATGGGCAGAGAGAGAGAGAGAAACAAGGGCGAGCAGGCTTTTGCCCTTCATTGTCCATTTTGGGTTTGTGCTTCTTCTTCTGCTGCTGCTAATGCTGCGGCTTCGTCGCCTTCGTCGTCTTCTTCCTCTATTTTTTTGCCATACACTGAGGAAGTGGAGAAGCAAGGGAGGGCCCCATGCCATTGGGCAGTCCAAGAGCGGCGTCACTAATCCTGAAACTCGACCCATGCGGAAGTGCGAGCACTGTGTACTTGCGAGCACGACAACAGATTGCTTCGCACTTTTCAACGGAAGTGGAAGGAAAGACACCCCATGGATGGATAAGTTAATGAACGTATACCTCAGATGGATGGATGGATAGATGGATAGGATTCGTGTTGAATGAACGAATTTGTTTACGGCTGACGTATTGTGAAATGGATGAAATGATGTGTGGATGGACGCTGTGGGTTGGTGGATGGATGGATGGCAACTTCTATCACCAATCACTATGTATATGTTACCTGTAGATAGATATCAACACACACACACACACACACAAAAATCTCATTTAAACCTGTTGCATAAAGCATCTGGCATTTTCTAAGATACTTGTAAAAATAAACATGTAAAAAAAAGGATATCAAAAGAAGACTTAAAGTCTGTGCATGTATGACTAAACCAGTATAAATGTGCAAATCAATGAATTGCAAATATGGTAGTTTACTTCCAAGCCTTGATAAGTTGAGTTTTTTCTTAGATGGGTTTTGATTCCAAGGCATTATCCGGGGTGAATAATTAATTGACACAATACTGGATATAACTAACATACAACAATCAGTTCTTTTAAACTTTACATTGATGTGGTAGAATATTTTGTGTATTTCCATGTAATCTAGTCTTTATAGGTCCACTCGAACTCAAATTTCATAGTTCCAAAGATTCCATTATTTGTGTGTTATTAGAGCTAAATACATCTGCATTTGAGCATGTTACATTGTTTGCTATATAACATATGCATCGATTGTGTGCAATCCTCATCAAAAAACTACAACAGCATTCTGTATTAACTTGATTGTTCATTAGAAAACAATTGCAATGATAATAATAATGATAAACTCAACCTTGTCTATAATAATTGCTTTTGGTGAATTAATTCAAATAAAATTTAATTCAATTCATTACTACAGTTTTCTTGTTTTATTTAAACTGCATACATTAATTTGTAGAAAAAATGAATAAATAACACACATGCATACTAAAATAATTAAAAATCATTCAAAGCCATGTGGAAAAAATCCTGGTAATATTAATAAACAGTATTAAAATAAAAGCTGGTTAAAATGTCGAGTAAGGTGACGTGGCGGTGATGACAGGGAAAGAGCAATGACTGTGTAAAACGATGATGACGTGGAACGGCCACGAGGCCAGAACCAACCTAAGGCATCAAAGAAGTCTGGCTTTTCAGAGGGGCGTTACAACTGCCCACCCCAATGCCGCGTGCGCTACCCATGACCGATGATCTCTCAAGGGATGGGACCAGCATGTTCCCACGTTCCCATGCAAGGTCAGGAATAGGATGTGCTTGTTCCCCAAAAGCTTCAGAAGTGGGCAGCGGCAACGAGGGAAGTGACGGAGCTATGCAATGTTGGGAATGGGAGTTCCAGTTTAGCATCCCCTTTTATTTACCCCCCCCCCCCCCCACACACTTTTACTTACCCTTCTTCTCTTGTATTTGATCTCCCCCTCCTGCAATTGATCTCATAACAAGAGTGACTGTTCTAGTTCCGCTTCCGGAGTCACCCTGCGATCTGGACCGTTGCGTCAACCGCGACTGAAACCCTGGAGAAATCTCGGAAGATGCGCTTTGTCGTCTTATATTTGTCCAATTGCTGCTTTAACAAGTTGTTCGCTTGACTGAAATTTTTTGAGCACGGTAAACATCGATGTGTGTAAATTGGAGAGTTTCCAAGTCTTAGCTTCGTGCTATCCTCGTGGATTCTCAAATTTGTATTTGACAAGCTGCAACTCATCGTCGCGAGGGTGAAAAGGGTGGAAGCGTTGCCCCCTTCTGAAATCAGACTGCTATTATGATTTTTTTTTTCTTCATAAATGTTTATTCTCGATGTTCACGGCAAATTTTGAGAGGCGTATGATTGCTTAACAATTTGTAGGTGTACATTCATTGAGGGGTTATGATTAATTGTTCATTGATATGAAAGCATCCGAGACAATAATACGGGGGATAAGATGGTTGGTGGTTTATCCCTTCAGATAAGCACGGAGCATTAGTGATGGGTACCCGGCAAATCATTGTAGAGGTGGGTCATTAAATTTTGTGGTCCCTGTGCTCAGTACTTGCACATGGAAGATTCCATCTTCTTAACCATTTAGTGATGCTTATTGATGAGCATTTGGTGAGTTGAGAGACGAATCAATGCAAAGGCCAGAGGTCCAAATTGAATGGGTGAGAGGGGTCACAGAGGATGCAAGCTTCGGCAGTTATATGATTCAATTTTCTGTGATTCTTGCAGCGTTCTAACTCATTTCAAATTTGTTGTAGATGACTGATTCACAAGTGGATTGTGCTGTTGGGGTTGGAAAACTGGTCCCCCTCACATGTTCGTTTGGTGTCGCAAAAAAGCTTCCTTTGCTCTAGAAGCTCATAGAAGATTCTGCTGTAGCAATGCTTTACGAAGGCTGCCATGCCAACATTAGACAGTATATTGATATTCAATGCCCTCGTGACTGCAGTGGTTTCCCCATGGAGAAGAGGCGCAGACCTCACTGCAGTCTGCTGCTTCCATGGCTTACAAGCAATCACATGCATCGCATTGCAGCAAGATAACCCAATGGACCAACCACCCTCGCACCGCGTACGCCGACCCTTCCGCTGACTTCCAGTTCCCATCTTTGCTCAGCTACAGCTTCCATCAGGCTCTGACAACGGAAACGACACCGGAACAGACAGTAGGCACTCCTCTCGCGGGCCCGATTCCGACGGCAGTGTCGGCATCGAGGTGGTGGTGCTCGGTGGGGAAAAAAGAAACATTTGCGCGGGAGTTCGAATCATTCAGGACCGCCCGGGGGTCCCACGCAATCAGAGACCGACAGGTGGCTCTCGAGTGCCACGTCGCAGACACGTTCGACATGTACGTGTCCACTTTAGTCCTATGACCGAGGCTCCACCGATGCGTGGCTGTGGACTATTCGGTCGCGCGGGAACCCCAGCCGGTGAGCCACCGAGTTTGTGTGTGAAGAGATTCTGGCTAGTGGTTGGGTCTGGGATATGGGCAGATTGAGAACCCTAAAGCCCTAAATCACAGTTGCTACAAGTGCTACAAGTGCCACAAGTAGCACTAGCCCAACACAGCCATCTTCTTTTTCTTCTTCTTTTTCTTCACAACTTTGCTGCATCATCCCCTGAATTAATCCAACTATGGTGCATGCATGAAATAGGCAACCATGGGTCTCACCACCTCCTCTCTCAGGCTTAACCCCTGCCTTTGGTACTTTACATTCATGCTGTCTAATAATATGCAATGTTCTCATGCACTTAGTGGCAAACTGTGCATGTTTAGTTTTTCATCTGTTGCTGCAGTTGCTTTCATAACTTGGGGTTCAGATACAGTGGAGTTCCAAAACCTGGATGCAACATCTGGATGGCATAAAATAGAAACCAACATGATTCCTTTGTAGACTTTGGATACAATGTGGAAAAATGCCTTCAATAGGATGATGGTTGCTTACTCTTGAATTGAAATGCCAATTGAGTCATCAAAGAAACTGTCAATGTGACCATGTGTGTTTATATACAGATACATACACACTTATTGACACGAGTAGAAGCCAAGCTGTTGAGCATAATTTATTCTCTATAGATATACATGTATTTACTGGAACCATTTCAATAAAAAAAAAAAACAAAAGGAGAATAGCATGTTTAGATGTTGGGATAAAGTCCATGAGCCCTCTTCTTTTAATGTTTCCTGACACTCCAAATGTATATATATATATATATATATACATACTTATATTTGATATAAGATTTCATACTTCACTATGTACCTATATTTCTTCACTTTCAGCTGTGCAAATATAAGTATGTATATATCTTCACTTTCAGCTGTGCAAATATAAGTATGTATAATGAATTTAAGCATGATACTTACCTCAGTGATTAGAGATAATTATGTGGTTTCAATGCATGGAGAAAGGATATGAGCCTTGAGATCACAGTTACAGAAGCTTTAGCACTTTAATGGAAATTGCCAAGTTGGGCAAACAAGTTCAATATTTGAACAACTTTTAATTCAATCTTATTTTGGAAGCCTTTGCATGCAGTACTTCACTTCCATTTTTGCTTTTCAAGTAGGATCCTATTTTCGCTTTGCTTTGCATGAGGAACTCTGCTTTTGCAAAAGAAACACCTCTAGCTCAACTCTAGATGACTTTAATACAACCTCATGGTCAGTGGAAGTTGTTTATGTTATTGGTAAATGAATTTGAATGGTAGATGTTTGTCATCTCATGTTACTGTAACAGTACCATAGTTTATATTTTTAGAAATACACAGAGCAGATTCCATCCGATTCTCATTTAGAAGTTTTTCTTCAATGCTGTTGTAAGTAAAAATATTCTATTTTCTTTTGATCATGAAAATAATGGCATACACACATGTATGAGAATTACATTTTTGTATAGAATTACTATACACTTGGTCAAGAACATTCCCCAAGTAAGACATTATTTAAGATGGAAAGTTAATCATACATTTATCTATGTAGTATTGTTTACTTGTTAAAATCTAATATTAGAAAAACCCATGGTTTGCAATTGTGAATATCCATCCTTTCACTGGAAAAAGTTGAGATTATAAGAACCTGCTATAAGAAGTTGTTCAAAATTATTAAGGACCAGAATATAGTTTAAATATTACTTTTATCTTCTTCATGGAAGTCATACATGTACTGTCTCCCAGAATATTGTAACTGTGTAAGTCTTTGATTCTTTTTCTCTCCATGATGTGAATATAAAATACCAATTAACAACAATTGATCCAAGTTGAAAATAAATACATAAATTGAGGGGTTCTTCAACAAGCTGGACAATTTTGCTTACAAGAAACACCCACATGAGTATCTTTAGAAACACACTCAATGTATTGTTGAGACAAATTACAATAAAAAAAAAACACAAGTTCCATAAAAATAAAATAAAATTGTGGGGTTCTTTGCTTGGAAGTGGGTTTCGAGTTCCTTGAGCATTTGCATCTAATATTTCCAGGTGGGTTCAACCTAAATAAACAATACATCAAAGTTTCAAAAATTGATGGGTAACAGTTGTCATAATTTCATTGGTAGAACTCATGTGGGAAACTTAATAACAGAATCATTCCCGAACCAACAACAGAGTGTGTGTGAGTGTGTTCCTCCTGGTGTTGCTTCAGGGGATGGAATGACAGCAATGGAGAGAGTTGGACCCCGTGAATGGCAGCAACAGCCTGCTTAGTGCTAAGAAAAAACAAATAATCACACGAACAAACAAACCAACAAACATAATCTCTACTATCCTAAATTACAGACGGATATGAGAAAAGTCACCCATCCTAGTCTTGTGGAACTACCTACCCATATGGGTAAAACGCAGTATTCCTTGGATTATTACTTAGTTGTTTATTTATTTTGGAACGTCAGAGAGTCAATGCCTCCTTGCTAAGTTTTACCTTTACGTTGGATATTTCACATGCCTTGGCCTTTTCAAGGCCTTCCTCGGGCAAAAATAGTTATATTCGGTTGACTCTCCATCCGTGCCTTCCCCACATAAAGTCAGCTCTAAGTATGGCGAACACAATATGCCTCACTGTATGGATTCTGCAGAGGAATCTATACGACACGGCTTTGACAAGCCGCACACACCCACGATTTGCAGGAATGTAATCCCCTTGCCTAAGGCACCCCTCCCTCCCTCCAGCTGCAGCCCACAAGATTTTCCTCGAACATACCATGAAATTGTGTATGCCGCTGTGGTTCGAACAAATGGAGCCAGGGTGTTAACCCGGGGTAGGGCGCGGGGAGGTCCCCGTATTCAGGGTCGAAGCAGTTGCTGAACGGGCAATCTGTGCGAGGGTGATCGAAGAAGAAAGACAGAATAAACAAATGAAAATCCTTGTTACAGTGAACTATGGTGTTTCCTCGACTCAAGGGATTTTTGTATCCTCTCGAGGATCCAGCTTCCCCCCCATTGTCACCCTGTCAAATTGTCACTTGAATCGGGTGCAAATCCATCCTGTTGTCGATGATGGCACTGTGAACGTGGCCGACAATGTGGGGTTGGGTGGCGCAATGGTGTGCCATGCTAGGAGAGGTGCACACTGAGAAATCCTTGACACAATCCTGGTAGCTCCGTAATCTTGCCGTAGTATCTGGACTACGCGAAAAAAAATGGGTCTCGCAAAGATAGAGAGCACTTCGTGTCCTTCGAGGTTGTGAGGATCGATAGTTCGGGTGAGACCATTGGAAGATTGCTGGCCAGGAGTGTGGGCTTCTGAAAGGGGCCACTGCATCATTTCCTGCCGCAGTTCCGGTGGATTGCACAGCTTCACCAAGAGACGGTTAATGTCCAGCTCTTAATGAATGGATATTTAGTACTGATGTGACAAATTTCTGTATTTAAGTTGCCAGCCGACCTGGATTTAAGGTAACGTTGGAGGATTTGGGTTTACGACATTTGCAGATACGGTGTGCAGTGTTTGATTTCATTACTGTTCGAAACAGTAGATCCTCAGCATACCGAGGCTGACGCTCATTTCAAGATTATCAATTGAAGATGGGTATGCATCGACGGTGAATCCAATCAATCCCAACTTTCCGAACAGCAGCACTTGCGAAGGAAACCGCAGGGCAGTCAGATGTGCACAAGATGTTAGCTGTCTGAAGCTTCCACCTGAAGATCACATATCCTCATTCACCAGATCGAGTTGTAACAAAAACATAAGTTGAAGAGCAAGTACAGGAGGCAATGCTGACTGGAGACGTGCCCGGAAGATTGAATTGGAATCATGAACATCCGCATTTTAACGTGACAGAATGCACTTTCTAGCAATGAACATCGTAGTTTTTATTAATACCAGAAATAAAATTTATTGTGGCCAATGGCTACAACTCTGCTCCAGGTTCCCCGCCAAATTTTTATCAAGAATCTCTAGTCTCGCACTACATATCAGCCCCAATCTCTCTGCCGTATTCACACTCACGTAATTTACAGACGGGGCGTAAACGGTATCTCTGCGCAAAGAAGAGAAGGAGAAAAAGAAAAAAGAAAACAGAGAAAAAAACAGGAACTAATCTCTAGTAGAATGGAGAATGAAGGATAGTCACCCTCCCAATCAGGGCCATCCTCCATTCAGATACAAACACCATGCCTGCGACATTACTACTTTTAGCTGTGGATTTCGAGAAATCACTGAGAGAAGAAATCTGCTGGGAGTTTCTATAAATAAGACGAAACAAACCCAAAATATTGCCTCCATGATACAAGCCTTGGGAGACAAGGAAGTGGATATCTTTGACATTGTTACGGTTTTCATTTTTATTAATCTTCTAATTCCTGTTTGAGTTGATCATTGCGGCGAGTCATGTATTGGGCCAGGGCTGGATCGTGCTTTGCAAGTACACGAGGGTCCTCAGAAAAACATACAAAATATGCAGCCACCGCACTCTCTGAGACAACCATTGTCAAGTATGTCTGCGAAAGCAAGAACAAATGACACCGTTACAGCAGATGCTTCTTGGAAAACCATGATCAGGAAAAGAAAAGAAAAAAAGTTCTCCTACTGCTAAACAAAAGCTAAGTCTTAGGTAATTATCACTTTTTTGTGCACCAAGAACATGAAACTCACTCCAGTAAATACTAAATTTTCAATATTACGTCAGTCGGTACTGAAGGGACTCACCACAAAGAAACCGAGGAGAAACGAGACAATAGAGACACCAACAGTGAGATTACGGTGTGTTGCAAAAGTCCAACAGCCACCAACTAGAGCTGTCACAACTCCTCCAATTATGCAACCAGTCAAGAGCACTGCGCCGCTTAAATCGTCATTGACTAGCAACATGGTTTCTTGTTCCTTGAACAGGATCCACGTCTCCTTTGCCGACCTCACAAAACTCTTCCCATGCAAACCCACCTGAAAACCATGTACATCCAAAGTAAACATCGTTTGATTGGTACATGGCACGACACTAGAAGAATATCCAATCAACGTCAGCATGTCTGCAAGGGTGACATGAAGTTGGAGACTAATATGCCGCATACCCCCACGAAAGCCCATTTGTTGAAATGTTTGATGAAAAACTCCAGTACTCCAAGGAAACAATTCACGCATGAGAACAAGAACTCGTTTGCGCCTTGCTCATTAGCCAAGCGCTTCGCCTGCAAAGAGACACCATGACTTTCAAAATCCTGTACGGAATGAGAGGAATTTCGTTTGCTACTTGCTGCATCAAACGTTGAGAGTGTGCAGGCAGGAAATTACTTACAATGGCATGAAGAGTGGTCACTGGAGTCACAAATATTGATCCGAGGCAGACGCTTCCGAAAGAAAGAGTCCATGCCCGTTGGTATGATCTCAACACTGGGAGATGTGGCATGTTGCCCATCTGCAAATAAAAGGAGTGGCTCTCAATAATTAATTCTCGAAGATACGACACAACCAAGCACTTAATATGTCGACTTCGAGCACATTATTTTGACCATGAGTAAGTGATCAGCTATTCACCTCGTAGTAGTAAGTGCCTATAACACTTGCAACAGTGACGTTGACGGTGTTGCGAAGAACCTCCATGGACCATGCTAGACTAATAACCAGCAAAGCAACATAGTATCCGCCATGTTGGAAGCTCAACGCTCCGGATACCCCGAATATCCATATGGCAAGCCAAAACATTGCCAAGAACACTGTCCACATTGAGATTACGTAAAGACTTTTGTATTCGTGCACGGTCAAGAGTGCTCTTCTGAGCATGATTCCTGCAAACTCCATCCTGTTGGGGCCACAATTCGAACAAATATTAGCTGAGAAATCATTCAATTCTAAAGTCCTAATTTATTTCTGCACAGAGCATCCAAATCAAACGCCAAGTTTAGCTGTCAAGTCAATTCTTCTATCCTGAATACATTCCTCTACGACTTGTGACCAAAAACAACACAACGGCATAAGTTGATGTTTGCGAGGATTACCGGTGCCTGACGAGGTGCACATAAAGTCCCTGGAAAAGTGCAAATGCCACGAAAAGGAGACCAATAAGGCCTTTGGCGGTTCCTGTGGAAAGTAGTATGATTCCCAACAGTCCTGTAGCATTCACCGAGTTAGCAAAATTCTGCGAGACTTAATACAAGCAGCAGAATACTTCACTAAAGTTTGCACATCAGAATTCTCACATGTAACAAGGTTGCTCGTTACGTATATTTCCAGCTACCAGCGGTCTAGACTCACGAAACTACGATTGATGAACAGCAAAACGCTTTCAAGTTCATATTCCAGGAAAAAACTAACAGGACAGCAGAAACACAGAGCTTGTTAATCGATTCATACCAGTGGACACAGCACCTAAACACAGGCAGATCTTGATCATGGGCAGCGGATGCGCACGGATGAGCGATTGCCAGATAAATGCAAACCACCATCCTGCGCCTGTTGCAGCGGCAAGCTGTGGCGCCCAATGTTTGATATTGTAAAGACTCTCTGAGTTTAGGGGCGTAGGTGAAGGAGCTAGAGCATATGCACGGAGCAGTTCTTCATTTTGGTTCGATTTTATCAGTCCTCTCACTCCGAGGTATATGCACACACCAACCACAGCCCAGAAATGCAAGAAGAAGAGGAACGCTGCCCAGTAGTCTTTGCAAGCTTGGAAGTGCCTCTTCTTCACATGTCCATGATCCTGCAAACACGTTTCCTCGTGTGTTGGTTTCAAAAGCGACAAAGCAAGCTGCAACCGTTCAGGTAATTAATTGAATACATGACGTATCTACAATAACCTTAGTACAGAGAACTGACCGTGACTTGACCGTAGTAAGCGTCTTGATGCAACGGAGGAGGTCCACCTTCCATTGGGTAAGGAACAGCGCCTTCTACTCCCCGGCTTTCGAGATCCATATGTGGAGGATACCCATCAGGATATTCATCGTGGTGATGATGCATGGGCGAACGCCCCTCAGGCTCGTAAGGCATGGGAGGCACAAACTGAGGCACTACGTCAGGAGGCCGATGCTCATGGGGGATGTCACGAGAGGTTTCTACCTGAGGCTGAGGAGCAGCGTCAGGTTCATACGGCATCGGAGGAAATTGGGGACCGACATCATCAGCGGGAGGATGGGGTGGTGAAATCGCCCTTTCCGTCGCGAATTCCTGTGGAGGGCATGCAACCACTGGTGCCGGGGGATAGATAACTACTGGTGGTGGTGGTGACGCAGGTCGTTTCGGTGACTCTGGCAGGTTTAAATGTTGCTCAGGTTCGTAAGGGAGAGGAGGTTGGAATCCTGCATCACTGGGAACCTCGGCAGATACATGCCTTTGCTCGACTTCAGGAGGGGGTGTAAGGACAACCTCAGGAAGAGGTCTATGCTCAACTTCAGGAGGAGGCCTGTGCTCAACTTCAGGAGGAGGAGGAGGTCTGTGCTCAACTTCAGGAGGTCTTTGACCGTAGTGAGGCTCAGGCCTTCTATCAATATCATGAGGTCTATGGTCATGTCCATGAAGAGATCTATTGTCAAAATCTGAAGGAGGATATCTTCTATCAAATTCTGGAGGAGGCCTTCTATCAAATTCTGGAGGGGGAGATCTTCTATCAAACTCGGGAGGAGGTCTTCTATCAAATTCTGGAGGGGGAGGTCTTCTATCAAACTCGGGAGGAGGTCTTCTATCAAATTCTGGAGGGGGAGGTCTTCTATCAAATTCCGGAGGGAAAGGTCTTCTATCATATTCTGAAGGAGGATATCTGCTATCAAAGTCTGCAGGAGGATGTCTCCTATCAAAGTCCGGAGGAGGAGGCCTTCTATCAAATTCTGAAGGAGGATACCTTCTATCAAAGTCTGCTGAAGGATGTCTCCTATCAAAGTCTGGAGGAGGAGGCCTTCTGTCAAAGTCTACAGGTCTACTACGCTCATGCTGAGGTTGATGGCCCAGATCAAATTCTGAGGGAGGTCCTCGATCGAATTTTGGAGGAGATCCTTGGTCATAGTAAGGTCGAGACCTGCTGTCAAATTCTGGAGGTCGGGGGGCGTATTGAGATTGAGGTCTGCGCTCATGATCGAAGTCATGAGATGGCCTTCGGTCGTAGTCCGATTGAGGGAAGTCATGTAGTGGTCGTCTCAGATCATATTCAGAGTCGTGGCCCGAATCGAAACTCCTGTGTGATGGTACTCTTCCATAATCAGGATCTTGAGATGGTCCAAAGTCGAATAGAGGTCCTCCCAGAATGTCATCAGGAGTGAAGGTTGTAGAAGTCAGAGTCCTTGGGTACACTTCATGTGGTACACCGCGGGGGTATTCTTCACGAACGGGGAAGGGTTGATAATCTGGGGCTGTTCTGAACGAGGGAGGTTGCCAATATGGGTCGTTTGACGGCGGTGCTCGTCCCAATGTGAACTCTGGGCCATCATGGCCTTGCGAAACCTACAGGTTTTGAAACAGAGACTCTCAATGAGCGTTGAGGATGGACACAAACACCAATGCGCCATGTAAGATTATCACAGCAACATGTAAGGAACAAATCATCACTATTCTTGACCAACTTGTGTAAATGCTCAAGGCAAACTTTCTCGATTCTGGAGCACGTATCAAACGTACAGAGTCTCCAAATTCATTCCAACTTTCTGTCTCTTTAAGAAATGTACAGACAATGCAAGCATCTGTGAAATTGAGCGGTGTTCTCGTAAATTGAGCACACCCATGATCTCAGCTCACGCTCGCACTCTCATCTAATACCCTTGTCACTTCTAGTCCGATGTCCTTGCTGACTTGGGTTTAAGAAACTAAGAAATGCCACTCACGTAAATCGAATCACACAACCAAGATTGCGGCGCAAACTCCAGCTCATAAACAGGACTCAGCGAAGAAGAAAATAGCTAAGAAATTGGGCTTCAGGAGTGTGACATGTTGGATCGGATTGATCAAGCACAGAGTCCTGCTAGTCTTAAAAATCATGTGGCAATGTTTGCAAAAGTCTGGCTGTGTTCCCGAATGTAGCTTCAAGTTAGACCTACCCTCGTTACCCGAAGTATCTAAATTTCAAGGAAATTCATCAACAAAGCCAGAGTAATAGTTACTTACGTATTCGTCGCGAGGGGCGTAGGGACGCAAGCGCTCATGCTCGTTGTAATACGCCATAGCCGCGTCCTGGCTCTAAATCTCTAGTATCCGCAACCTTGGATCAAAAATTAAGAGAAATGTCCTCTGTTTCAGAATCCAATATGGAGGCACCTCCACGGTACACCATAGTCCTGCTCGATGCACGATTCAGCACCTGAGAACTGCTGCTTCTGGACATTTCTCAACTTCCTAACTTACATGCAATCGCCACTCCAGTCAATTTGCACAGATTTCAAATGGCAGCGGCGCACTCGCGTATTCCAGTAGATAGCACCATGACCCCTTCCGACTGCTCAAAAAACTCAAGGATGTACCGGGCTCGTTTTAGATTATTCGCTAACCTCAACCAATGCCCAGGAAAATCTGCTGAGCCTGTAAAGATTGCTCGGAGTTAAGTCAGAAAACTCTGAAAACAAGCTCCCTTTCACAACCTCTCATTCTATGTTCTGCCCAATCACTGCACCCCGGCGCAGCTTTGACTGTGAAGAGGCAAGACAATATTGACATCAAAAGTCTATTCTTCATTTCGCAAGGATTGGATCTTGTATAGACACAACTCGCCAATGACTAAGATCGGTAAAAAGACGACACGACGGCAAAATGTGAAAATGCGAATCAAGCGCCGGCACCTACCTCATTACCGTAAAATTCATCGCAGCAGCAAACCTCGTCTTCAATAGCAATTTTGACAAATTAAATGTGCCTGGCTCACAAGCGCAGGGAAAAAAACCACTAAACAGGGGAGATATAATTTGCAACACAAGTTTGACGCATTTCGTCGTGATTAAACTTCAGAGATCGGACATGGTTCTAGATAGGTGACCAAAGTGTGGGAATCCGGCAGCCTTGATTAATGCGAATGATGACTGGTGAAGAGGCGATGACCTGGTCGTCCTCCAAAGCGGGAGAAAGAGCCAAAATAAGTTGCCGTTGGGCAGCCGACCAAGAGGAGCCTCAAGCCTGGCACAAACTCCAGCGACTGCTCAGATAGACACCAATCCCGTGAGTCAACATACGACATCCGGGGCTTTTGCAATTGTAATTGCACCCTGCGAATACTTTACTTCCACACACTTCTTACAATTGCGAAAGTCTGTTCAGACGAAACCTGCACGTTCCTTCCACCACCCAATCAGGTATGCAGGGCACCGTAACCTTGTCGGATTTTACCAGCGGCGACAAGCTGACGCACGCTTGGAGCTCCACGACCCCCGAAGCCAAATCCGACTTGGGTCTCGAGATGCCGCCGCGATTTTGCTTGATTAGCAGCGCAAATCACCTCGGTTGCCTACCTGCTTCAGTGATTACCACCACTGATTCCCAACAATTTTGTACCTTCCCAGAGTTGCCTTGCGGGCAGAGAACGTGGTTGGGCGCATGCCAAATTGGGTGCCATAAGCGATGTGTGCAGATTTGAGGGGTGAAGAATAATCAGAATGCGCAGTAATGTGAGTTCAGGACACAGCGGATGTGTGAGTGGACCAACTCACCACCTGCTGAAGTATCCAGAATTGGCACTATGCTTGCGATGCCCTCATGTCTTGTCAACGAGATTAACCCTCGTCCTGAGCCTAAACTGCCGCTTCATTACTATCCGCGACCTTAACGGTAACGTCTTCACTGTCCTGGCTTCACCTGGGTCTCTAATCACGGAGATTTGCGGCTCTTTGATGCAGCTGCTGCTAATGTCGTAGTGCAGTAAAAACATTATTAAGCTGCCCGAGGACTTACGCACAAACATAATTATCCATTTCAAAAAACCAAGCAAAGGTGTGTTATTTTGTTACACAGATGAGTCCCTAATATGTAGCTTCATCTACACGACTCCTGGTTCAATTTCTTTTATATTTTTTCTTTGCAAACATGGCTCACCTTTACCGAGAAATTGTTGGGAAAATTCTCGAAAATGTATTTTCAAAGCTGAAACATGAAAAAAAGCAACTACCATTCATTGTATAGGCTCCGTGGAGCTTTCTGTACCATATTTTCTAAGATGCTCCTTGTTAGATTAGCTTTTCTAGACCAAAAAACAAGTTCAGAATATTGTCACTTCAAAAAAAAAAAAAAAAAAAAAAAAAAAAACTCCATTGAATTTATACTTAAATGAACACACATGACCAAACAAACAAACAAACTAACAAGCAACTAACAACAACAATTGGCATACAAAGTTGTAGAAAGGGTGGGCTCTGGATCACCAGCTTGTGTGGGGAAGAGGATCATCAACAGTGTTGCCTGCAGGAACACTAAACACTTGGTTATAATAATTCAGTTTTACTTTTCTCAAGCACAAGCACATATGCTTTTGAGGCAGTCTCCTCGTTGGATGCGATGAAAGAGGGAGGAGTGAGCGTGGGTGGGTTTATTTGTGGACCCATCAGCGGCGACTTGTCAGAGGAGGCTAAGGCACAGTTCTCCAGAAATTCTGTGCTATCTCATGATGCACAGCCCTCCAGCTTCATCAGGTGGCCACGGCTTCCGAAATGCATTCACCGCGTAAGCGATGCACCACTCCATCGGTGCTCACAGCGAAGCAGAGCTGGCGCAAGCAAGATGAGGGGGAGCTTGGGTATGGGGATGTGCTGCTGGAGCAGCGAAGAGAGCCGCAGCATCAAAAGTGTTAGAGTTACGCAGCAGTTGCTCCTGTTTTCGATCAGGACAAGCAGCAGAGGCTACCTGTGACTGTCCCTCAAAGGGTTAGCTGGAATTTTCAACCGTGGCTTGGAACATGTGACACCCTTGGCTGCCACCATGATCTGTACCTTGGCTCCAATGCTTTTTACAGCCTTTCTCCAATTACCAAGTCATGCTTGACTGGGCAGCTCACCTCCCCTTCCTTGACAAATGGCTGTGAGCAGTTGGGGCCCGGAGCGTGCCATGCCTTGACGGTTTCAAAAGTCTTGCAGTCGCTCAGCTTGGTTGACATAGCCAAGCTTTAGTGTAGATGTTCTGTCCCTAAGCTGGTGTGCAACGAATGGACATGAAACAGAGCGAACGAGAGAGAATACACACTCCCTTCGGCATCTATCAACCTCATCCCCGGTGAGCAGCCTCACCAGACCTAGCAGTACAGTATTCGTGTTGCACCTGGACTCTGCAAAAGATGTGTGAAGATGGAGAACGACGTTGACAGCATGAGAATCTTAGCTTTATGTGTTCTTTCTTCCCCCTCCCGAAGATTGAATGGTTGCTCGCAGTGCCAACCAAGATGGCATGATCCGTGTCAGCCGTTCCTTCTCATGAGTGAGCAGAAGAGTGATTTGTGATTATTAAGATAACTTTTTTAATTAATTTTTCTGTTTGTCACTTGGCTTAAACAGCATGTGCCCACATTATCAGTTTTAATTTGGCCTCGACACAATTGCAAGAAAACGAAAAAAAGTTCAAATCCGATCTTAATCCTTGGTTGTTGTTATGTTGCAGTAAAGATTCAGTTCGTGCAACAGCTGTAATATTTTGTTTTGTTTTTGGGTTTTTGGGGGGTTTTTTTGTTGTGTGTGTTTTTTCTTCAGAATTTTTTTTGGAGTTTCTTTATGAGGAATTTTATGTTGAAAGCAGTGACGAAGAGATACAATGGAGACTGCATGTGATGCTCATCTGTTTTTACGAGTATCTAACATCCATTCGCATCCTATCCAGGAGAAAGAGTTGCCGAGGCTCTGAAGGATAACATGAACAACATAACCCAGGCCCGCAAACAACAAATATATTTCAGAATTCTGATGGGCTTTTAGTGCCATTTCGTCAAATTGTTTTGTGTGTTTGCCATTATTCCGAATCCAAAGCTGACAGCAGTCTCAGTGTGTGGAAGCAACATCTTATCCAGCCTCAGTGACAATGATTCTAGTTGCCAGAAACTCGAACACCTGTAAGCAGATACAGTAAAACTTTTGCACCAACTTGTTTTTTAATGCATTAACTTTCAAGTAGTGCCTGGAGAAATGAATTTATGCCACATTTCAAAATGTCTGTTCCCCATAGACAATTCGCACAGGTTTGACAGCCTGGCTTGCACTCAATTGCAATGGCAGAAAGGTTATCAATCACAAACTTATGACAACAGATGTAATCTGTCACTGACATATATGACCCACTTGAGACAACATCAATACAGTAGATTTCCCTCTGCAGGCGTGCAAATGCAACTCAACGAAGATAGACAGGCATGGACGTTTCCAGTACACCCATTCGAATCTCATGCAAGTTAGGACGCTTTTTTTTCTTTCCTGTCACTCAACCCATGTGACGAGTCTTCCTCGTGTTTGTTTGGAAAAAGCACAAATAATGTTCATTCCAGGTGCACAGAACCACCAGAGAAGGATTGCACTACATTCTGTTTCTGGGTGTCTTTAAAACTTTAGTCTTTTCTCAAGTGTGCAAGCATGTGTTACCAAGGATCACAAAGGTTTCTAAACTTTATAAGCATGTGTATAGACGTTCAACTGCAGCTGTCAGAATCCGAGTTTAAATTAAACACACTAACACTCTGGGGTATGCGGACACCGGCGAGCTGTAGGATCTGACAAGATTCCAGCTGATTTCACAGGGCAGTGCCTGCACAGCGTTACTAAACATCCGTCCGCTGCTTCATACTGGTCATCAGTAATCAAATTTCGGCTGACAAAGTTTGTGGAATGCAGGCGGAACAGGCAAGATGAAAAACCCAACAACTGGAAAGTCCAAACCCCCACTCTTGTAAGTCAAGACGGTCAAATAAAAATCTGTACCTGAAGGCCAGATTGCTACGAATTCTCTCATGTAACGATGCAACAAAAGCACAAACAGAGACTGAAAAATATTGAGTTTCTCCCTCCAAGCTGGGCTCGCTTAGTACTAGTTTCAGAGGAAAGTAGAGTTTCGAATGATGTGAAGGAATTGTGGTGCTTCGTTGTCCATATTTGCAAGAAAAATTGACTGCGATTTTATGCGACCACAGTCCGGTGACTAAATGTGTCCGATTGTAGGCTAAATGTGCAACAGCCTGGGCCACACTACATTCGTGTGTGTTTCCTTGAGTATTATGAGAGTTGCGTCAGAAATGCTGAACTTCAAGCACAATATTTAAATGAGAGAAATTCAAATACTTACAATACAACGTGATCGCAATTGTGCCCTGAATGGAGTGGCGCCGCAGCCTCCATCATTAGTGCTAGGTACGGAGGCTTGAAGCCGCGGTTTCTAAGGCGTGGCTTGGCCAGGATCTCAACGTGCACTTACAATAGTTAATCACCGGAAATTTCGCACAACAGTGACAGAGAGCTTCGAGACGATAGTGGAGAAATGACCCAGATGAGGGTTCACAGATGGTAGAGACTGGATTGGTGGACTTCCTGTCCGACTCTTCAAGCGTCAGTAAACAGATATGATGAAATCATGCAGAATTGCTCGACAAAAGGAATTTTCCGAAGGGAAGATAAGGAGGCAGGACGTAATTGTTAAGTAAGCCTTCTGCTGCCTGCTCTGACAGCTCTCGTTGTTCTAGTAGCAAGTTGCTTCTTCCGCTAGTTCAAAATTTGATTAGAAATACCTCTAAAAATAGCAAACGAAGAAGCACGTCCAGTTGATAGATTGAAGAGTGAAACAGCGGAAACAGTGGAGAGCATCTTGATTCCCTTTCTGAGGCTCAGATTGTACAGTCGCTAGAAACCACCACCAGGTGGTGGCAGGTGCAATATGATGCCACAACGCAGTATACTTTCACAGGTGTACGTCCTAGTAAATTAACTGGAACAAGTGACTGCCACATGCATTTATCGTGCAATTATTGTAGTGAAACATCTATGCAATAATGCGCATCCTAGACATAGATACGTTTGAGGATTCAGCGAACCCCTCGACGATCAACGGCGTGGCAGTAGTTCAAGACTGCAATCTTGTACTTCAGGCCCAGTATTCATCTGGCTTGACGTCCTATATATGTCCTACGCTTTATTGAATGCAGCTCCCTTTTCTTAGTTATTTTTGGCTTGCATGGTTTCTCAGTTTCTCAATTCTAACGAGGTGCTTTGAGGGTCATGGCGTAGGGATATTGACAATGGTTAGATCTAACGGTCCAGGGTGCGGTGCTATCCTCTCATGCTGTATATCAGCTGGATGAGGTGATTACCAGAAAGAATGTGCTGCGACTAAAGGAGCAGGTGTTCACAATAATAAGAAGGCTTAATGGAATTGAAACCAGACGCCGTTGCTGGAACGGGGACGCACGCGTCGGTGGAGAGACTCGCGTTGGGGTGTTTCAAGGTGAGGCGGAATCTGCGAGAAGAGCTCCATATCATTGCCCAGGATCAGATCCTATAATGGCAAGAAGGGCTGAAACACGAATTATCGACTTGTTTGCGCATCAGCAAGTGGGGAAGGCAGTCGTGTTGGGAGCTCATGTGGCGCTGGTTGTTTCAGCACAGGCCGTCGGTACAGTTGATCAGCAAGAGCCAAATTGAGCTCCGTCCGAGAAGAAATCCTGTGGTGTCAAGAGGAACGACGCATGCATGCTCGTGCATGCCACATCGTTGCGCAACAGTGCCCATGTTGCGGTCGCTGCTGAAGCTGGTGCTGGTGTGGCGGAGGCAGCTGGCTACTGCCTTTTGCTTATATGCGCCACCTTCAGCTTTCAAATCGATTTGTCTGAAGCTCCATCGCATCCTGCCATTGCCGTCGGAATCACTATTTCACACTTCATTCTTTTGCATCTAATTGGCTGACATATGTTTTAATGACCTTGAAGCTATAGGCTTCTTTCATAGTATCAAAGCTCCGGCTTAGTTGGACTGTGAGAATCACCATTTGTAGTCTCTAGTACAACTACTCTATACTATAATAGGATCAATATTAATTTTTGAAGAAAAAGGCCACAAGCAAGCCATAAGTTCTTTCAACAACAATACAAAGTACACAATACTATGCATCATGAAAAGATTCCATGATCCTTACAAGTGCTCGACACACTTGAAATCTAGGTACAAAGCAAACAATAACCCTTGTAGAATTCATCAAATCAATAACTTTTTTAGTACCAATAAAATTAGTATGATGACTA